TGTGTGTATGTATATAATGTGTGTATGTGTATATATGTTCAGTGTAAAGAAAATAGTCTTCAGTATCTAATGATCTTATCCTTACAGGCTACATTTCAGCTAGTGACTTTGATAAGTGAAATGTGTTGGTTCCCACACCCCCACCCCATGTCTACTGCATTGCTGTACAGAGTTGCATTAGTGTTCGTCTTGTGGTGAACCACATAACTACTGACTCCTGCAGCAAAAAGGTGGCCTGAAGTAACACTGGCCTCGGAATATAGCTGAATTATTATTGCAGCATTTTGAATTTTTCATTATAATAGGTAACTTAATTTTTCATTTTGAAGGAGTAAAAATAACTAATTTGTGATGCCTACAGTCGGAACTTCAAGACTGCTGCATTCATAGGGCACTCTGAACAGAACAGTTAGGGGTTCAACAGTCTGATTTTTTTTTTTTTTTTTACGTGTTCTTAGTATTGTTTAATTTAAAATATTTTTTTCTAGATTACATATTTTTAGAAAACAAGTCAAGTTTTGCATTTAAAATCTTTCAGCATTCTTCTTTTAAATGTGTCTCTTAGTTAATCTCCTCTAAGTAACAAAATGATGATTGCTGCTAATTCCTACAGGCCTGTGGATTTTATGTAAAATATCCAAAGGAGGAGAATTTGGTTTAGAATAGTCTTCTAATTTTATGGAAGATCATTTGTCATTTACAGTTTCTGTATCTTTAAATAATTCCCTGACATTTTTTTTCTGTCTTCAGCATACATAAAAGGTGGGTGGATCCTTCGTAAAGCCTGGAAAATTTACAATAAATGTTATCTGGACATTAATACACTTCAGGAAATATATCAGAAGAAGTTAACTCAGGACTCCTTGACTTCTGATGCTGCAAATGATAATCATATCTCTGCAGAAGGTGTAACGGAGGATTCGCTAAACAGGCTGAAAGGTGCTGTTAGCTTTGGATATGGACTTTTTCATCTTTGCATATCCATGGTGCCCCCAAACCTGCTCAAAATCATCAACCTGCTGGGGTTTCCTGGAGACCGCCTACAGGGGCTTTCTTCACTGATGTATGCAAGTGAAAGTAAGGACATGAAGGCCCCTTTAGCTACGTGAGTAGCTATATTGAAATGCTTTGGTAGATAACTTAGTACTGAGAGTAAGTAAACTACAAACAAGTACAATCAACAACAACAAAAAATCTTGTTGCTTTTAAAGGAAGCTTCAGCTGATGTTGTTTAACATGCCATAGTTTTCTAAGTTTGTTATATGTTAGTTACAAGAATTGATTAACAGTATTTTTATTGTCTAGGCAGATTGTGTTGATGATTTAATGCCAGGGAATGCAGTTTTCTGCACCTTTTTGTTCTGTCAAAAGGAGCATATTTGCTTAAAGCAGGGTACTTGAAAGGGTCTCCCTAAGATTTAGATTATCTAAAAAGAAGCCTAAAAAAAAGATTATTTGAAAAGCAAATATTGTCCATATGAGTTCTAGCAGCTATTAACTTCTCTCTAGTTATAGGTATTTATTTTAATGTGATGACTTCTTCTACTTTTAATTACTTTTCAGTATGTAAAATAAAAAATAGAACTGTTTTTTATAGGCAAAGAGAGAGATTTTTGTTGGCCTCTTTGGGGTGGCACACCCACTATAATGGGAGTTTCCAACTCTGCATGTTGTATTCTGGTGCTTTTTTTGTAGATTATCCTTCCTTCAGGTTTTAAGTTAGAACTCTTAATGAAGGTAAATTTACTATTCAGTACTGCAAAGGTCAGACCTAGTACTGTTGTAGGAATGGCCTTGTACCAGAGGTGTTACAAACATGCCTCAAATTGGATCCCGACCTCAGGAACCCCTCCTGGGTGGTATTTGTGGGGCCAGCAGCAACTGTAGTAAGGCTGTGTTGGAGCAGCAGCATGGAGCTGCATTCATGCGGCAGAATGGGTCTGGGGGCTGGTGCCAATGGCCCTATCCTTTGGGGTACAGGGATCCTGGATTCTGCAGCAGTCCATACCCCCCAGCTTATATTAGCCTGCCAGAGTACTGGTGGGCCAGATGAAATAATTCTTTAGCCCAGATCTGGCCCATCAGCCATATGTTTGAAATCCCTGTTTTGCACCAGATCTGTAAGCTTCAAGTTGGCTCTAAATCCATCTAATACAGTACTGAAATTAAAAAGACATGTCTATCAACCATACATTTAAAATAAATCCTTTCTTCTTGAAAAAGATCACAGTTCTAATCAGTTAATCAATTTTAACTATAAACAGCCAAATATTCTTTTCTTAATGTCTTACTATAATGTGCCATCTGAGGAGAAAAGGATATGCCCACTGTTTCTTGTTGGAGAACCCACCATACTTTATCCTCACTTCTGCAATGATTCTGGTCTAGGTCACTCATTTGGCGAAGTTTTGGAGCACTGGGTGCACTATACATCTGTGGTGTACATAGACTTTTAACTTACTCCTTGCTTTATGATGAATTTTCGGATTTAATTATTTTTAAAAAGTTCCTTTAGCTCAAGAAATGTTGAAGACACAACTTCATCCAGTGCTCTGGAGATTCTACTTTCCTGTACTCCAGTGACAGTTGGGAGTAATCTAGTTTAACAAAATAATGTCAGATTTGGTTTTTAGTCAAGTTATAGCATCTGACTAAATAGGCCGTAACCTACAAAGCTTATGTTTTTTCTGAATGAGTTGGGGCATGGTGGCACCATTTAAGACTGCTTTCACCTAGCATTTTTTTTCCCTTCAGTACCTCGTAACTTTTGCCTACAAAGAAATCATCTGCTGTAAACTGAAATGTACACTAAAGTAATCTTTGCACTTTGTGTTTTTCTTCAGATTAGCTTTGCTGTGGTACCACACAGTAGTTCGCCCTTTTTTTGCTTTGGATGGCAGCGATAGCAAGGCAGGACTGCAAGAGGCAAAGGAGATCCTGCTGAAAAAAGAAGCAGCTTATCCAAATTCATCTTTGTTTATGTTCTTCAAGGGAAGAATACAACGGTTAGAGGTAGTGTATATTTTCACCATCCTAACAACTTTTTTTAAAATGATAAATGTTTTATTCTCATACAAATAGCTTATCTTCCTAATATCTCCAGTTAATATATTGAAAATATTGGTGAATAACACCTTCTCATTTTCTACTATGCCCTTTCTTATTGCGGTCTGTCCAGGTAGTTAGCCACTCTTAGTAGTTCCCTGAAATCTAGTTTTCTTCTGCTATGTAAAAATCAAGCTGGAGTATTTTTAATTCAAGTGGTGAACCATGATCAGAATAGGGTTATTTCCTGGAAAAAAAAGTTGCAAATGTTGTCTGATGTGTAAAAGTGTTTTTTCAGCCATTGTAACAGGCGCAAGTTCTGGCATTGCACTCTTTCCTCCCAGTTTACTCTTAATAGTTTGAGACAGGCAGAAGTATTTTAAATGCCTTCTGTCATTTAGGTGACTGCTGTTGTTTCTGTCACTGTCAGATTATTCCTAGGGATGCTAGAATAAAAAAATCATCAGGAGATGGCTGTTCAATTCCGGTATCTATGACTCCTTTATGTTGGTTTTGGATAAACCGCTGCCAGTATGTCGAAATGCTGTCTCAACCCGAAAACTTCTAGATCTAATACTGACCTTAATACTCTTACTTATTTTCCCCTGGGGCTTATGGCTGACTTTCCCAAGTTGACCTTGCGGTTTCTGAATAGGAAGCAGGAGTAACAGAAGAAAGTCTTTCAAACCTATCTTGCAAGACAGACTGGATTTACATGAATCTTGCCTGGCTTTGTGCAGAAGTACTCTAGTAAACTTCCTTGCTGAGCTGTTTTTGTGCAGCAGTGGTAAATCTGGGGACATGTGTGGTAACTATTAAAATGGTACGTTGTTGCCGTTTTGATGGAAAGATATTTAATCACCTCTTTCTGAATTCTCAGCATCATTCTGTATGGATGTGTGTTCCAAACTTGGCTCTTTGGGTTTTTTAAAGACATTTTGTTGGGTCAAGAATGCATTTACAGAACACACATTGCAGTAGTTTAAAACATGTAGAGTTGTTAATGGTGAGTCTGATCTTGTAAGTAGAAATGTTCCTGTATCTTATGCATAAGAAGGATTAGAGTCTTTAAACTTCTATTTCTGTGGTTAGCCTTACAGAATCAGTCTCTCTCTCTTTCTCTCTCTTCCCCCCAGCCCCCCCGTAAGGCTAACCGGGGTAATAGGTTTTCTATAGCCATTGGAACTACAAATGTGTATGCCATGTAACTTCAGTTGATATCATAGAGGACTACAGTTTCATTATATTAAGTATGTTGGTGTTACTTTTGTGAAGATATAAAAATCAAGCAATATATTTTGGCCTTGTGAATCTTGAGCCCAGACCAGCCATTCAAGAGCTAGAAGCAGTCAGATGTGCAAGGCTGGACAGTGAGAGAAAAGTCCATGTAGTAGGTAGATTTGAGAATTCTATAAATAGGTATCTGAAGTTATGCTGATGGCTGAGGTCCCCAGGGCATAAGATTTAGAGAAAGGAGTGGGGAGACCAAGGACAGATCTGTGTAAAACTTGACAGACTGGGAAGATGTGGAGAGGAGGAAGTGACAAGAAGCTATCTGAGAAGAGTAAGAAAACCTTAAAAGGACAGAACCATGACAGCCATGTAAAGAGTGGATGTCAGGGGAGAGTGTGCTGTTTTTTATGAAGATTGGTTTCTTTGAACTTATAAAAAGGATATGTTGAATACTATGACAGAGCATCTATAATAATTTTCCTTTTATTAGGCAGTATGCTAGTGGGGATAGAATCTACTGAACTTTTTTATTTTTCCTAAAATCGCCTGTTTGGGGGATGAAGTCTGAAAGCCATTTAGAGATTTGTGAAGTGAAAAATGTGGCCTGCAAAATGAAGGGGAGGAGAAAGAGGAAATGGGGCAGAGTTGCATTTGTAATACGATCACATCACTCTTATTCAGGAGTCTTGGATGGCACTGTGTTAAAAATAGTTTTGTCCTGCTTGGCGCACAATGAGCTATAGTTCCTTTTGTAAACATAATGTTTACTTTACTAATTGTTATGTGGTATGGCTAGGGACAGACATTCAAAAAGCCTGAACCTGAATTGATTCAGTCTTTGCAGGTTAGTTTAACTTGGCTAGGCTGAACTAGTTTGTAACCATACAGACATCCCCTCTGGACTGAAGAAATGTAGGCACATGCCTGCAGTGGTACAGTCTAGAAGCCAGAGGGTGCTAGAACAGCCCTCCCTTCTGTTCCACAGTGCTGAGCTGACGGGTGGGGGTGTGTGCGGGCCCCGGCAGGACACTCAGATTAGGAAGGGGTCGTGTCCCCCCCCCC